GGCCTTTCTACCCAACACAATACACTTGGATGAAACATACCTCAACTTAAATAGACAAACATACAAACACATACACAGCTGTCATGCCTTACGCATGCCACCTTTGCAGCGTACGAATGCTGTAAAGTTATTTATGGGTGACAGAAACTCGTGCAATCATGAGAGGCTGAGATGAGAGCAATCGAATCTGTTCTCTTGGCAGCGGAGCTCATTGTTGGTTAGTGTTCATTACAGCAGTTGCCTGAGCTTGGACACTAATGGATCTAATAGTAATCTGATACAGCAGGAGGATTTGGTTTAACAGCAGTACCTTTGGAATAGTAACTGCCATTTGCCATTTGGATATTGACAGGAGAATCAAATTAACTTGAGAATCAAAATTTGTCTGCAACATTTGTGGTATCAATACTTAAATTTGAAACAAAAAGTAACTACTAGTTTCTTAAATTTTTCAATGCAATTGAAATGTATCAACCAAAGTTGAACTCATCAAACTGTTTTGTAATAGCAAGAACACAAACTCGTTCAATGAAATGCATGAACACCAAAGAAGAAAACGGTTTATGCTAATTAGACTATAGTGCCCCTTGTGGACACTAGTGGCAATTTCAACACGCACCTGTGTGGCATTATAAATTGAGTTTATGAAACCAAGCTTGAAATCACAGCTAGAAGGGTTTGTGTTTGTGTACTTGATTAAAAGTATGTTTCAAGTTTAAGAGAATGGCAAAAATCCGATGTACAGACATCAGGTAAAATGTTTGTAGTAATAAAAAACCTGCATGTAGTTGTTAAAGGAATGGCTAGCCATCTCAGAGGTGAAAGGCATGCCTAATATAAACAGATAATCAAGACAACACAATAAAATTAGCACTGGATTAGAGCATGACTGTAAGTGCCCTAGCAATAAAAATAAACTCAACCCACTTCCATTTCATAAATCTACTATTGCATAAGTGTATTGTGTTATGTATGTCACATGCATATATTGCAAAACAGAATGTAATGAATTAGATAATAGTTTTCCTGGCATTTAACTGCAAACGGAAAAAAGACTAAATGACTGTTTTTCAGTCTGTCCTTGTGCTGCTCAAAGCCTGCTGGGAAATCCTGTAGTGTTGATTCACACACACACACACACACACATTTAGGGATCGTTTATATTAGTTATTAGCACCTAATATTCCTCTCTCTCGCTCTCTCTGTCTGGCTCTTCTAGCTGTCAAGATGGCCATGAAAAACCTTTTGAAAGAAGATGATATCAAGAAAGCCCTTGATCAATTCAAAGGTGGGTTCAGTAGTAAATAATAATTGGCATCACTTTACAATAATGCTCCATTTCTTAACATTAGTTAACTACGTTAGTTAAAGGGATAGTTCACCCAAAAATGAATTTATTCACCCTCATGTTGTTTACAAACCTGAATGAGTGTCTTTCTTCTGTTGAACACAAAAATATTTTGAAGAAGGTGTGTAACCAAACAGTTGAAATGAGGCTTCCTTTTTTTTTTTCTACTCTGTACTATGGAAGTCAATGAACATTCTTCAAAATATCTTGTGAAGATAACAGAAGAAAGAAATTCATGAAGACAGAAATGATGACAGAATTTTCATTTTTGGGTGAACTATCTTTTTCACATGAAATAACAATGAAAATACTTTTAAAATATTTATTAAGTATAATGTTTATTTCAACATTTACTGATACATTATTAAATTCAAAGCTACCGTTAATGTTAACTGATGATAACAAAGATTACTGTAACAAATGTTCATTGTTAGTTAACACATTAACTAATGTTAACTAATGGGTCCTTATTTTAAAATCACCATAATTATATAACATTATTTATTTGAATAATTACTATAAATTATAGGCTAATATTTACACTGTCTTTATACATATTGTGATGTGCAGTCGATTACCACAGAAAATGAGATCCGTCTATTTTAAAAACAACAATTAAACAAATAGAATGTTCTAAAAATCATATTTTTGTTATAACACTTATATTAATTATTCCACACAAAAATGTTTGTTATTTAAGCTGTAAAGTCTAATTTGTCTTTTTATTAGTGGGACTATTTATTTAGGCGGATGAATCTGGTTATGCAGATATATGATTCTTGTGGGTCCAGTTTACTTACGTATCAGTTAAAATATGTCACAGTTCTCTTTCTGGTATCATGCTATGTTATGTTTATCGACTATACATGGTCAATATTGGGTATAACTAGCCTCATAAGATGTCATTTACATTTTTATGCCATTCTTTCTATTCAGTGTGTATTTAAACGTTTTCCGCGTAATGTCTTTGCCTCACAACTTACCTCACGGTCAGGCACATGCCTTACTGTACATGTCTTTTTTGTTCATTTTTACTAACTTGTTTTCTGTGGTCGGCGCAATGTCATCAGCTGAAGTGTGCTTCTTTTAAACAGCTGCGGACAGCTTCGACCACAAGAAGTTCTTTGACGTGGTGGGACTGAAGGCTCTGTCTGCTGAAAACGTGAAGTTGGTCTTCCAAGCTCTAGACGTGGACGCCAGCGGCTTCATCGAGGAGGAGGAGCTAAAGTGAGAAGCGGCTGCATGGTTTTATTTTCGTGCCAACTCTCTAAGAGCCATAAATTTGTTTTATTCTCCTGTCGTTTGGCCCATCTTCAGAGCTGGTGTCTCATTCTGCCTTTATTGCTGTCTCCTGTTGGCCTCAAGGACACAGAGGGACCGAGAGCGATCCCCTTTTGCATTGATTGACTCTATATATCTCCTCTGGCAGCATCCTTGCTCTCTATTATTCATTATCAGTACATGACTATCCATCATTGGCCAACCGCAGGGAAGTGCGGGGTTGCCAGATTGAGGATAAAACAAGAATTCTGCAGAGAGCCATTGGGGGAGACGTATTTTGTAATACAACTCCAAAATTGTTATTTCAATGTTAATTGATATCTAATTAAGTAAATTAGTTAAGGTACTGAACAATCCAAGGTACAAATTAGGACAGTTTGGGTGGTCTTAATCTTTAATTTAAACTTAAAGGGATAGTTCACCTAAAAAAAAACAAATTCTATGATCATTTACTCACCCTCATGTTGTTCCAAACCTGTATGAGTTTCTTTTTTTTTCAGTTGAACAGAGATATTTTTAAGAATGCTACCAAACAGTTGATGGTAGCCATTGACTTTCATAGTATTTTCCATACTATGGGAGTCAATGGCTACCGGCAACTGTTTGGTTACAAACATTCTTCAGAATTTGTGTGTTGTGTGTTCAACAGAAGAAACAAACTCACACAGGTTTGGAACAACTTGTAGGTGTGTAAATGATTACAGAATTTTAGTTTTTATGTGAACTATCATTTTACTATTCATTTTGCCCCAAAGTAAGTCAAAACTATTTTTTTTTCCTTTGTGGGAATCAATGTTTAACTCGCACACGAGAACAGTTTTCAAGAGTATTTGAATTATATTATCATATTTAGTCACTTACAGGGATAGTTCACCCAAAAATGAAAATTAGCCCATGATTTACTCACCCTGAAGCCATCCTAGGTGTATATGACATTCTTCTTATAGACGAATTAGTCAGAGTTATATTAAACAATGTCCAGGCTAATCCATGCTTTATAATGGGAGTGGATGGTTGCCCAAAATTTGAAGTCCAAAAAATTGTACCCATCCATTATAAAAAAAGTCCACACGGCTCCGGCGGGTTAATAAAGACCTTCTGAAGCGAAGCGATGCATTTGTGTAAGAAATCCAACTTTATAATCATTAATCTCTAGCTTCAAGAGAAACAAGTTTTGTTTACAGCAAAGGAAAGCCAGTGTCATCTTGGCTCATATCGAAATCCTCCAACATTTTTCTTTACAAATCCTCGTTTTGTGCTACTAATTCGTGACCAGTGTTTTTAGCTCTCTCCTCTGCGCTTCACGTTCGTCCCCCCCACGGACATCCCTGTGTAAATAGATTTGGCAAACAATCCAATCCTTTGTGAGATCGTGATGAATGAGTGAGTTTTTAATCAATTTAAAGGGAGTACTCTTTGCATGCTGCATACGATAGAAATATAAAAGCCCCCCCAAGTTGGGTGTCCTGGCGCCGGGCCTGGCTGGATGCCACTCTCTCGTGAAACGCGTGTACGACAGTTAGTGGAAGCTAGAGATAAAGGTTTAAAAAGTTGTAAATATGGATATTTTTCTTACACAAATGCATCGCTTCGCTTCAGAAGGTCTTTATTAACCCCCCAGAGCCGTGTGGACTTCTTTTATAATGGATGGGTGCAATTTTTTGGACTTCAAATTTTGGGCAACCATCCACTCCCATTATAAAGCATGGATTAGCCTGGACATTATTTAATATTACTCCGATTGTATTCGTCTGAAAGAAGAATTCCATATACACCTAGGATGGCTTGAGGGTGAGTAAATCATGGGGTAATTTTCATTTTTGGGTGAACTATCCCTTTAACTGTTGTGCCCAAGCTGTGACCTGGGTTGCCAGATTGTGATTTATCCCTTCTCTTCGACAGGTTTGTGCTGAAGGGCTTTTCTGCAGATGGCAGAGATCTCACTGATATGGAGACCAAAGCATTCCTCGCTGCTGCCGACAAGGATGGAGATGGGAAAATTGGCATAGATGGTGAGAGAACTAGCGCTCATAAAGGAGCAGTACCCCTAAAAATTATAAAACACTGTGCCTCATGTTTTTTTAAAGATAAGAAATTGTCTAGAATTACAAAAAAATATGGTCTAATCCACAATCACCTGCAAATTTCTTTTCAGAATTTGAAGCTTTGGTGCACGAGTAAATCATCAATATTTGGCAACCCTTTACACCACTACTCTCCTGTGAATACCTACAGCCAATCATAGTGTACATCTCTACACATCCTGCCACGTGCCAGGAGCAGAACCGCCTCCTTTAACCCCATTTATTTATTTACCTTTTCTTTTTTACAAACTCTGTATATTTTAGTTAGCTAACCATGTCTTTCATAAAAACCTAGAGATTCCTGTACTGCTTTAACCTCTCATCTCTTGTTTATTTTGGCACATTTCTCTGTTTATGCCTCAAAATGCTCTTTTCTTCTTATCTTACTCCATCTGTCATCCCTTCCCTTTTTCGCTCCTCTCTTGTGATAGAGCCACTGAACACGATGAATACATGAAGAGATGGACGAGATGAAATGAGAGAAAAAAATATTTAAAAAAGATAAAATAAAGCCATGCGTTGAGAAAAAATACTGTGGTTTTCATTTATTTAATTGACTCATCTAGTGCAGTGTTAATATATATATTTTTTTTAGTAGAAGAAGAATTAAAAGGCTATTATTTGCTAAAATTGGGGCAAACTTTTCCAGCTTGGGCTGTCACTTAAATTAATTACATGAAATGACAAATTATTAATAAAATAAACCATAAATGAGTGCACCCGTGCAGTCGGGAATTTATGCACAAATGAAAGATCATGCTTAATTGTGTTTTTGTGCATGGTTTTCTTTTCTATTAGTCGCAGTAAATTAATGCATTAAACTGACAGCCCTAAAAAAAAATCTGTAAATAATAACATTCAACTAGACAATCACACAATAAATATACATGATTTGTTCCTTTGTAATAAATAAATAATCGTGCTTAAACACTTAAACACAAAAAACATTTTGTAAAATTTGTGCTAAACCTATTAAAAAACACTCACAAAAACTTATACATATCATATCTATCAAATACACAACATTCAGACACAGATGCACACATGAAAACAAATATAGTAATCAGACTTAACACCATAAAACAACACAATCTGAAATACTATGAATTTAAAAGGGTCAAAGTTTTTCGACTTGCAATTATGTTAAGAATATTTTAGTCAATTTCATTTTTATGACCATTTTAACCCTCTCCCATGTGTTGATGTGGAAATGTGGAAACTCTTGGGTGTTCATCTATCTGACATCATAAAGCTATTCTGTAACATTTGTCCTTTTTGGAGGATGTTTTTTTAGTATGTCTAATTCCATTTATCATAAAATAACCCCTTTCAAAAGATTTAGGTCACCCGATTTAGCTGAAAGAAAATGTAAATAATGCTCTGAGTGATGCTATACAGCTGGACATATCCATTCAAATTAAATACTAAGTTAGTTTAAAAAGTGCCATTAAATTAAGTTTAAAAATCTCTTTTCATTCTAATATTAAAGTTGACTTAAATTGTACACTTATCAACAAATTGAGACATTTGGTACAGACTCTGAACCAGTCAGAATGCAGGCGATGTTTTGCGACGACTGTCAGTGGATCCGTGGTGTTGATCTGTCATTGGTGACTGTGGGACGGAGCTTCACTGTGGCAAAAGGATTTGATCCTCTAGAAAACAGGAAGATAAAAGACAATTAAGCACATTTGACCTCAAATTGTAATGATTGTAATGATAAATAAATAGTCATTACTGTAATTTTTTTACAATAACACTGCAATATTTTATTTAAATAAGTATTTTATTGAAATACTACCATGCCATTTTTAAACACACACATATTTCACTGGAGAAATACTGTATATATGCAGTTTAATAAGTATTAATCAATTAATTTATTTATTCATTATATGTCATAAAACTTACTTGGTTACAAACGTAACCTCGGATCCCTGAGATCCGGGAACGAGTACTGCGTCTGCTAAGACGCTATGGGAAAATTCCTTTTTCTCAGATGACTGAAGCCTTTTTAATAACGCAGTGTAACTGCAGGGCCATTGGTTTGTGCAGTAAATTAAAAACGAACCAGTGGCAACAAAGCCCACCAGTGCCGCCAATATGGGCGGGGCCATCTGACTATATAAGCGGGCATGTCGCCATAGAATTCTCAGGTAACTTCGACTGAAGCGACGACTGAGTCGTGCAGCTGCATAGCATGGCTAGTTACGCAGTACTCGTTCCTGTATCTCAGGGAACCGAGGTTACGTTTGTAACCGAGTACGTTTCCTATCGATACTTCATTCGTACCGCGTCTGCTAAGACGCTATGGGAACCAGTACAATCCCGCCGTGCTATGCTTCGAGGAACGACTCATACTTGCCTTAAGCACTACAAGGGGCCCAGAGGGACCAAGTAATTTGCAGGAAAGCCCCGCAGGGGGCAATAGGGCTAAACTCGAAGAGGTCAGCCCAGCCATAAGTAAACGTTCCAAGAAAAAACATTCAAATTCGGTCTTTCAGAGATCGCCGGATGGCGGCAGGGGATCCGGAAGACCGGCGCTGCTGCGGGCGCTGAAGACGGCTGCGAGAGGTGGAGAGATCAGCCGAGCAGAGGGGTCTTCATCCGCTGCGAGACGTTTCTACGGCGAAGCTTCAAGTCTCGTAGTCTCAGCGAAGATCGTCGTCGTCACTGAAGGAGAAGAAATCTGAGAATCCTATAGCGACATGCCCGCTTACATAGCCAGATGGCCCCGCCCATATTGGCGGGCTTTGGCGGGCTTTGTCGCCATAGGCTCGTGCAGCTCCACTGCCGAGCCATTGGTTCATTTTTAATTTACTGCACGAACCAATGGCCGTGCAGTTACACTGCAATATTAAAAAGGCTTCAGTAATCGAAGAAAATGGAGTTTTCCCATAGCATCTTAGCAGACGCAGTACGAGTGAAGTGTCGATAGGGAACTAATTTCACAAATTTCCGTGGAGGATTATTATGTCAGAATTTAATAAGGTATTTTATAATGAATTTGTCACATTATAATGGTCAGGGGATGGTGATATATTGGCTTGAACAGCATTGATATTAAAAATAAATACAATACATACAAAAATACATACTAATGTAAATGTATACATTTTTTATTCTTGTTTATCATCGCAGTGATCGTTTCCATTTTTGTTGTGCTGCACACGCTGAAATAAAGTGACAGCGCATTGCTCACGGTAAAAATGAACATGGATTGATACGAAATGTATTAATTACACCATAAATGCAAATAAGTAGGCCTAAAGACTGTTTTTTACAGTCAACACGGCTTTTTAGCAAAGGGGGTAAAGCAAGGAAAAAGTACCCTTTTAAATAAATAAGCTATGCTACGGCAACATAGATGGCATTCGTGGAGTTAGAAAAACTTCTTTATGACCAGCAGGATTGTAATAAGGATGTAATGCAAAAGAAAAGGCTTGAGACAGCCGTTTCTGTCAATGGTAAGTTTTAATTAAAAATGTTTGTGATAGCCTACTACCTTTTAAGGTAAAAAATGTAGACTGCAGGCTGTGTTTATGTTTTGTCACTTGCTTGAGTATCTTAATAATATATAAATAGCATATACAGAAGTCATTTTAATATGTTGCACTTAAACGTATGTCTATAGAAGGTTGTATTAGCTACTGTGTAAAAAGATAATCACTGCTTTAAAAAAATCATTTTTAGTAACGTTCGGATTTGAAATAAAAATAATGGTGGTAAATAGCCACGGATCATGGCGCACTACCAACATGTGAAAGCATAATGAGCCTGTTCTGCTTCTGCACCGCATACGAACCGTACACGGACTGCACTGCAAACGGATCCTCGCTTAATTTCGTTTACTCTTTGCTGATATACTGCACTCAACTGCCATTCACTATGTCTGGATTTGAGAATCAGTGAAGACATCAGCGATTTTGGAGTTGACGTACAACACGAGTTGATTCCAGTGCTGGAGTCGACTCCGACTCTAGAGCTATTCAGAGTTGAGGAATTGACTCTTTTGGAGTCGACTCCCCATCCCTAGTAATACCTGGGAAAAAGCGGGTGCTCTGGTGGTTGTCCATGAGTGGTTGGCCTCTGCAAACATTGAACAGATTTTATTGTAATGCTCACATTCACACAAAATACATCTGAGACATCACTAATAACCTCATCCAAGATAAAGTCAAATGAGAGCCTCGATAAGAAACTGAATCTGAACGAATCAGCAAATTCTTTTGCAAATCAACATATAGCACATTCACTGAAAATGATTCAGTTTGGTGTCTGATGCCTTTTTAAAAGCATTCCCTATGTTTTCGTTGTGAGAGCTATAGATAAACTATTACCTAACATAAAATTAGCCTAGCAAAGTAGCTAGTTTTAAACACATCAAATGTTTAACGTCATCATGAATTTCAAATTTTGCTGACATTTTTACCTTACAATGAAAGAAATCTCATACAAATTTAGCTGGAAAACGGATGGAAAACTACAGCATAGATTCAACACTTACCTCAGAGGTTGATTCGGTCTTTCGCTCAGGGAGAGGAGAGTTTGTAAGGGGCGGAGCCGGAAGCAGGAGTTCATTATAATTTTTGTGCTCTACTTTGCTCTCAAAATGAGACTCCGCCCTCCTGTCAGGGAGGGGAGATATTGGTCGAAAATCAGCTGATCCACGACGGAGCGGTGCGGCTGGAGGCGGAATCTCATTGTAGGTTTTCTGGCTGGTCTTGACCTCGTTGTTAGACTCCGCCTTCTTTTCAGGGAGGGGAGAGATTGGGCGAAGATCAGCCGACGCGCGACGCATAGGTACCACTGGGGACGGGATGTCACTGTAGCCCTGGGTGTCTGAATATTCTGATTGGCTGGTTGGCTCCAGGAGGTTGTTCATGCTGTGGCTTCGGTGCGACGTACTACTGAAAACATCAAGACGTTAACATCAAATTATATAAATTTTTAAATACTCATATACTCAACTTTACCTTGAGCCCAAAGGTAGAAAGTCTTCAGTAGATGTCACAAAGGCAGCAGGAAACCAGCCTTGACTAAAAAAGAAACAAAGAAAAACAATGGTAAAGCAATGGTAAGTGTGACCGCACCTTTAGCCTTGATACTGACAGTAAATGCTCTCACCGGAGGCTTGAGTCATGGCGTCCGTACAGCCAACCGTTGCGTGGTTCTGGTATGAGCACAGTCACCATGTCACCATGGGCAAATGGCAGCAGGACTGGATTGGATGAAGCGGGATGGGACACAATGGCCCTCAATGAGCGGCCGTCACCTAGACCCAAAGACTCGCCCACAGAGCTGGAGCGGGAACGACTGGGGAGAGGAGACGGGGCTGAGAAGAGTTTTAGACAAAGAAGTCAATCTTAACAGGACATTAGGGTAAATCACACACTGACTTTGTGAACTTTTATAGAGTCAAAGTTACAACAGTCTCCAGACCTCTAGAGGGCACTCTGCCCAGCGGCTCACGGTCCATTTCTCGGTCTCCAGTCTGCAGCAGAGAGCCCAGAGAGCTCTTCAACTGCAAGAAACATCAAGACAGACCAAATCTTAAGTTACCACGCTTCTAAACGACACACAAAAGTGTGAAATACGACTAAAAATGGTTTTGCAGAGTAAATATAAAGTTTTTACTATTGGATCCTTATCAGACTTTTAGAATCAGTTTAAATTAAATTATTAGTTTGTTGAAGTAGCAACATGCAAACATCAGACTCTATTAGAATCAGCTGAGAATATTAGTTTAACTATTGAGATGTTCATAGATATGTATAGGTATATGCCCTATTAGCGGCTGTTTCTATGGGCCACTATACATAAGCCGTCCACCATATTGGACAAAACCTGTCTGTGAACACTCAAGAGCAAGTTGCCTGTGTGTCTGCAACCCTAGTTATACGTATGAATATCTATATCTGCAATAGACTTACGAAGATGATTTTGCTAGACTAGCACAATACAACAAGACAAAGCCGTCAGCTAACACAACATTAAAAACCTATAATATTGAATTAATATATATTAAAAACACAAACCAACACCTGTGAAAGTTTAAATGTAGGCAGTTTTTACAACCAGAGGCTGCGCAATGTTGTGGAAACTCGTTTATTTTTATTGTGAGTGACAACACATTGACGTGTCTGGAGCGGTCGAATGTGGCATCTACCTATACATATCTATGGAGATGTTAGCTTAGCAACATGCTAATGACAGACTATTATAATAAGTTTGAAGTACTGCGACGTTAGCTTAGCAACGTGCTAATGTAAGAATCTAGAATGAGCTGAGACTGTTAGAGTTTGTTGAAGTTATTGAGATGGTAGTTTAGCAATATGCTAATGTCAGACTCAGCTGAGATTGTTAGAGTTTGCTAAATCTTATGTTAGCAGGCTTCCAAAAAACACTCAACAAGTGGTTGGCTGGTCTTAGCTGGTTTAGGCTGGAAGTAGCTGGTTGGTCAGCTAAGGAAGTGGTCAATACAGCTTAGGCTGGTTTTAGCTGTATTTCTTTCAGCAGGGTGATTTAGGAAAGTAGAACATGTATTATACAATAATACTAACAAACAACACCCCAAAATTTTATATATATATAT